TTCACTCTTTAATGTTAGCCTTTTGATAGATGGATTAGATGGGCCTATTTCATGTTTTGGAGCATTTTAACAGTTTGATAGTTACAATCACACCATAACTTCATACCATTTGCAAAAGTAGACAACACAGGGTATGTCATATGGTGTATTCTGAGTCTTATTGTATAGCCATTATTTTCACCTATTTCTTTCAAAACCTAATGGTATTGTTTTATTTTCATGTTTTTGTTTTTTTCATGCACATTGCAATTTAGCAGTTTATTTTGAAAACGTGATATGTGCTACTGTAATAAACATTATATTGTGCTCAGTTATATTTCCAGCTTACAAAATAACCCTCTTTGAATACTTTTTGTTTTGTGAAAATACGGGGTTGAATATATAACCCGCCCACTGATGTTTGAAAAATATTGGCAAATTGAAAATGGGTCTATGGTGTATGAAGATGGATCTATGATGTATTTTGGGGGATTTTAGTAGCTTTTACATTTAAATTACTTAATAGAAGCATACTATATGCAAATGTGGAGAGCACGAGGACTCTCGCATGATACATTTTGAAGTTTATTGAGCTACTTCACCATTTCCTTTTAAAACATGTTTTTTTCATTATTATTTTACCATTTTTACATGTACCTTGTATTTCCCCTGAATCATGTTTAAAATCTTTTTTGAGAAACTGTTATAAAATAAACTATCCCTAACCTAAAATACTAAAACTAATTGCAACTCTTACATTAAACATTAACTATAACCCTAACTTTAAACATTAACTGCAGCTGTAAACCTAGACACAAAACACTAACCCCAACCACCAGCACTAACTAACCCTAATGCTAACCCTAGCCATAAAGATAGTGTTGGATTCCATTATTACCCTCTCTGTTGCTAAATCATATCATGGCAAGCTGTCACAATATGATTTGAAGCCCTCTATAACTGAGATCACACATTCTACAGTCAGTGATCACATGCAGACGGCTTGCAGGAAGAACTGATCAGGATTCCATGGGTCTCCCTCTGAGGGAATCCCCAGTGATGTCAGTAATAATGTTACTAGACTGTGACTGGCCACGGAAGTTCAGCCACAGTAATTTAGAGGTATGTGCAGTGCTCCATTTGAGTGGGGTATGTGGTATGTGCAGTGCTTAATTTGAGTGGGGTATGTGGTATGTGCAGTGCTCAATGTTAGTGGGGTATGCACTGAGCTCAATTTGAGTGGGGTGTGTGGTATGTGCAGAGCTCAATTTGAGTGGGGTGTATGGTATGTGCAGAGCTCTATTTGAGTGGGGTATGTGGTATGTGCAGAGCTCTATTTGAGTGGGATATAACAGGTATGTGCAGTGTTCAGCATGGGGCTGACAATGGTTTCCCCAGTTACCAACAGAGAAACGGTCCCTGATGGTAAAATCTGTATGATAGAATTATTACATCACAACTCTCAAGTTTTGAAAAGGAACTAAAGATCTCCAGCTTTGGATCCTGCATTTACCTCAATTCAATCTTATGTATTAGACACTGGACTAGAAACTGGATTACTCTGCTAATTCAGAGATTACTTTGATTTTATACATATGTATGAAAGAACAGCCATTTGGTAATAGATAATGACTACTATTATTTATTAGTTAACTTGATTAGTGATGCACCATGGCTTTCCGGAACAGAGATTCAATCTGCTCCATTAATACCAAGTCTACTGATGGTGTGTTGGTGGAGAGGTGGGGGACTACAACCATATTTTCAGGCACTGGAGATTGCTCATACCTAATCTCATACATTATTACGGTTTGGGGCATTATTGGGATTCAGAAGTAGTAATTAACTCTTACAATACTGGATTTTAGAAGTGAACATTCTCAACATTCATATAACCCTTATTAATTCCCCATTTCATTCCCATACACATATCAATCTAAAGCAGAGTAAGAGGAATTAGTTGGGGATACCTTTGCTTATTATAATGCAAATTGGCAAGAGGATAGCACAAATTTACACTCCCTCTGTGTGAAATTTGTTTTTCAGTCAGCTAAGTTTGCTGGCACAAGGGTAAAGGTGTAAGATGAGGTTTATTGTAATAAATATTGTTTTGCAGAATTAAACCAGTGATGTGAACAAGCATGGTTGGTAGCCAATGAGTTAACATTTTATGTCTGTGTGCAGAATAATTAATCAAATAATTATGATATATTACCTGCTGTGACCCTGTTTATCACACCATTGAGTTTATAATTATCAAATTAAGCATCTCCTAGCTAAATTAACCTCCATGCTAAAGGTTTGTACACAGAGTAGAAAGTCTGCCAATACAGTAGTCCAAAGGCAATATTAGGTATGGACAGGATATGCTTTTTATCCGAAGTGAAATCTATAAAGAAAAGCAAACCTGTGGCCCTTGGAAAAAAAAAATTCAGTCTTCCTTATTATCTCGTTGAAAATGTCTACCAATGTTAGAAAAATTGATCCTTTAAATTTTCTTACCAACTCAAAAACAACAAGGAGCTAAAATGGGAAGCTAACTTAGCAACAGTTAAATTCTGACATAAATAACATATTTACAAAAAGGAAAAAATAATGTTTTAAGATTTTTGTGCATCATACACCATGCATGAATCTATTGTTCTCTAAAAATAAAATCCTGTATATCTCAATGCTGCAAAAGACCACCTGGCTGCTCCATAACAGTGCTAGGCCCTCTAATGTGGACAGATGAATTAAAGGACCACTCCACTCTCCCACCCCCCCGCCCACCATTTAGTAGATATATCCCCAATGAATATATGCATGCATATTTTTATGCATGTATTCATTGGCAGTATTGTCTAAAATAGATTACAAAAGCTGCATCTCTTATGACTGCAGCCTTTATAAACTCCTCCCCCCTTTTTTATTGAGAAGGCTCTGACTTGGTCCGAGCGTGCACATGAGCCGGCTCATGCACAGTCACGCACTTGCACGCCGCAGTGTTTGTGCACACGCAACCACCGCTTGTGCACTGCTGTAGCTGGTCTGATGTCTATTAGGGAGGGAGGGGGAGACAGGCATGCTCAAGTAGAGTGTGCCTGCCACTTCCGTTAGCTCAGAGGACCTAATGGAAGTAGGAAGGAATCCTCCCTGGCTGTTTGATTGACAGCCAAGGGGGAGTTCCCCAGTTAATTTATAAAAGTGCTGATTTCTCATAGAAATCAATACTTTAATAAATTGGGGTTAAATGAGGGTACTCCTCACCCATAAAGCACTTCAGCTAGCTCAAGTGCTTTTTGTGGTGTGGAGTGGTCCTTTAAGTTGAACTTGTTTGCAAATTCACAAAACTAGGGCATTGATTCATTAAAACAAGCATGTCTAAAGCAAGAAAGGAAATATACAATAATCACGATTATAGAAATATAAGAACACAGGTGCACACTATTTTAATATAGATAAGATTGAGCATAGGATAATAAGGATTATATGAAATCACGAAAAAGAGTCACTATTTGAATAATAATGGTATATTCACTGATAATAACGATTTAAAGAATTGGGAATAGATAGGAAATAACGTGAGGAAAGGTAAAACTGGGCCTTTGGCCCCTTTGAAATTTGTATTATGGTTGTGGTACATTATATTTCTGGGTATATCTATATATTTTATTCATATCTCTCATCTGATAAAGAGGAAAGAGCCATGTTTAACTTTTGATATATTAATGTTTCTGTCAGTCCTGATCTTACCCTTTAAGTCCCGCTTGGAGATCCTTAATGAGATCTAATTTAGTAACATTATGAGAAATAATGTTACGAGTCACATCAACGGAAGAATGTTTTCTCTTGTAGGTGTGGATAAGAATGGATGGAAATACCCCTATTATTATAGGAATTTCAGTTGTTGGATGAATGTTGTATGGATGTATTCTGTGAAGGGGAAGGGAACAGGAAGGGAAGGGGGAAGGAAATAGGGAATCATTCTGAAGTGCATATCCATGAATATTCAGGGATTAAATACCCCTTATAAAAGAAAACTCCTATTAGAATTACTTAAAAAAGAACAGATAGGGGGGCGGAGCCAGTAACCAACGGAAGCAGACACACATCAACTGAGAAAAAGGGGGTTAGGATCAGCGCTTGGTGCTATACAGGGCGGTAAGTGAAGCTGCAACCTATGGGTATGAGGTTCCCTCCAACGTCCTCAAGAAAGAAATGGCAAAAAACACAATGATAGGTCGCGCTATACAAAAAGTGAAAGGATAAATATAAATATAAATAAATACATAAATAATAGAAAAATTATATAAATATATATATATATACATTTACTCACATATAAAAAAGGCAAACAGAGAATAAAAGATAAAAATGTACATAAAAGTCCCGATATATGGTAAAATACTTGTAAGTTCCAATGTATGGTAAAATTCTTGTAAGTTCCAATAGGATAGTGGAGGCTTGATGATGAAATCAATGGGAAGTTTAGATCTTCTATAGCTGGGGGAATCTTGACTCAATGTCGAACATATAAGTAGAAGAAAAAGAGAACTCCAATAGTGTAATTCTGTGATGGAATTGATAAAATAAGGAGTAAGGGAGGTATTTCACTCACCTATCCAAGAGCGTGTACTCGCTCTAGTGTAGTTGGTATTCAGTGGCGTTGACCCCCCACTGTCGGGATATAGGTGTGAATGATTCCTCGATATGAAAAGAGAAGTAGAAACCAAATATAGTGCTCACTGTATAATAACAAGTAAGTCAGAGAAGTAAAAGGCGTACTTACATTTATCTGAGCAGGGTATACTGCTCAGTTTGATGGCGTAGGTGGTACAATCCCCACTTAGGATTCTTTGAACGATGGTCTGCTCCAAAGTAACGTGTAACCAGGATAAAAAATAAATAGATAAAAATGAAATAAAAGGTATATGGCAAATAGATAGTAAAAAGGCCAATATTCCTTTATTAATACAGTAAAAATATATAGCAATAGCCAAAACGCGTTTCGCCACACAGGGCTTTATCAATTGGCAATAATGGGGATAACACATCAACTGAGCTCCGCCAACACAAGCTTGAAAAACACAAATTTATTGCCCAAAACTCACCAATTTCGACTCATAACGTGATACCACGAGATGGGAAAGAAATCTAAGCACCAGGAAGCCGTGAAGCCAGCAGGGGCCCGCGACATCTGAGACTTTCTCCTCCGCCCCGTGAAGGCCGGGAAAACCTGCACCAAACTACTATGGCGACACAACCTCGGCCTCCTCAGGAGAACAAGCACTGGACGATCTGGATGAGTTCCCAAGCACAGGGGGCTTACACAATGCCTCCTCAGATGAGGACAACAAACTACCCTCTACGAAGGGAGACATCAAAGCTCTCCTATGTAATATCCGCATGCTGTTTGCAGCAGACGTGGCAGTACTGAGAGAAGATATACACACTGTGGAAGGCCGGGTCAAAAAAACAGAGGAAGCATCACAAGGCCTCACCGCTAGATGCACGCAATTAGAGGCCCAAAATGCAGAGCTACAACGCAGCCAGGCCCTACTCGCTGCCCGCATGGACACGGTGGAGGACCCAAACAGAAGCAGGAACATAAAGATCCAAGGGGTCCCTGATTCAATATCCCAAGACACCCTGGCACAATTCATCGGGAGGCTCCTCACCTCCTTACTCACGCCGCAGCAGGTGAAAACAATCGGAATAGATGGAATGTACCGCATCACGAGAGCGACCAAAACCCCAGCGGACACCCCGAGGGATGCTATCCTGCAACTACAGATGAGATCAGCCCAGCTGACCCTCATGGTAAGGGGGAGGAATACTTACCCCTTTAAGAAAGCCACTCTGTCCTTCTTCCGAGATCTGTCCAGACCCACTCTGATATGGAGAAGCCTCCTCAAACCCCTGACCACCGCACTCCACCAGCATGCAATACCATACCGCTGGGCATCACCCAGAAGCCTGATTATTACACAAGGGGGTGCAATAACACGGGTAACTGACCCCTCGGAAATGGACACAGTACTCACAGCGCTGGACCTGTCACCGCAACAGGAGCATGCAACCCCAGCTCAGGGACCACAGACCCCACACACATGGGACATAGCGAACATCAGACCATTTCACCCAGAAGGCCCCACCACCACGTCCTCCATGGCCTACAAGGCACAACGGGCAAACCGGCAACCTACTGGCACTTGAGACCCTGAGAGGGCAACAGGCGCCCAGGCTGAAAGGACTCCCAAATATTACCACTTCTTTACCAACTTTTAGTTATTTGTATTTTCATTGGTTTGGCACCCAGACAGGTTTATGGTCCCCTAGCCACGACCTCACCACGGAATCGGAGATGGACAAGGATAACAGCAAACCATAGGCAACACGCAATTGTAAACCAAGACCACAGCCTGGGACTGGAGGGAAACCCAATATAACCCCTGGACTTAAGCTGTGATGCTGAACCCCAGCTTGTTCCCCGGATGTGGGAACTAGCGGACAGTAAACAGAACGCTGACCAGCAAAGACCCCACTAAGCGGAAGACTCCACAAGGCCTGATTATAATACCTGTTTCCATGTGATATTGTTATTATTATTTTCCTTTATGACCACTATCATTTCACGTATAACATTCGCACTTGCACCTAGTGGAACCAAAGCGTGACATAGACCATGTAATAACTCCTGCACCCCTGGCCAAATTCCCCACAGACAACCTCACCAGCAAGAGCCAGCTAGCCACTCGAGACCCTGAGCTTCATACCGGCCCTATACTAAACCTGACCCGCCTATGCTGCATGCTTCTTCTGCTAAACAGGACTGTCCAACATGTCTATTTATGCTCACTTACAGGCATCTCAGACTCTCTTTGTAAAGGTTACCTTAAGCCTCTGTGCTCCAAACATGCTCCTAGTATAACCAGCCCCAAAAGCCTAGCCAGCACCTCACAAAAGCATTGTTCCTCCTCATGCTCAGGTATCAAAGACGCTAACGCCAGTGCCAAAAGAGGTCAGGACAGACAAGTTACTATATACAAATACCTACTCAGTTTATATACAGTTACTATATTCAAATCTGTGGTCACCGAAATTAGAAAAAAGAGAAAAAAAAAACAGTTTAAGTTTAGCACTTCTTATAATTTTTTTTTTTTTTATATATATATAAAATGTGCAAATGTTAAAAAATGTGCACTGTATTTATATTGCTATGCCCTAAGAAGTCAATGTATCTAACCATAACGATTGCATATGCTGTCGGGACAATGCAAAAATGGATGTACCTGTTTACTCTCTTTATTCATCAGCAACATGTACAAGCCTGTCTATACAGTCACCATTGTATGGATACATTAATGTTAGAACTGTATTAAGCTTAACTAATTTCTCTCAGTCGACTAGTCTCATATCCTGGCTGTCTAAAACATGGCACAATATGCTCGCGTATTGCAGATACACTAGCTTAACTTACCAAGCATCATAGCATTTTGTGTACCTAACTTGCTTAGATGTAAGCTTGTTTAATTTTCTATTATTTTACTATTTCTCAATAGGTATTACACGTAGAGAGGCATCTCACACTAACTAACCTACCTTTTCCGTAGTAAGCACTCACTCTCTATTAGACCGCAATCTTTCACCCAGCATGTCTAGAAAAGTTCCTGCCAACAAGCATGTTATGCATTGATCGGTTAGACAGGAACGCTAAATCGGTTTATGCTGTTATATAAAAATTGTGCTGATCTTTCCACATGCTGACCAACTGTTAACATATGTCTGGTTTTATACTTGTCAATGCTGTTGGGGCATGAAGAGCCATCCTGTTATATTTTCATGCACTCCAAAAATAAAGAATAAAAAAAATAAAATAAAAAAAAAACAGATAGAAATTGCTATGATTCAAGAAACGCATTGGAAAAGGGAGGACAAAATAAGATGGAGATATGAACAATATGCAGAGGTTTTACACGCATCTTTGGAAGGAGAAAAAAAGAGAGGAGTAGCTATTTCAAAAAAGAAATTATACACTTAGAACTGGATGAGGAAGGTAGATATCTAATTTTAGTGTAAAATAGAATCAATAATATATACTATTGTAAATGTATATCTGCCTAATATCTTGCCTACAAAATACCTTAAAAAAATAATGGATAAGGTAGATAAAGTAAAAATGGGGATTCTAATAATTACAGGGGATTTTAATTGTGTCCCAGATATTTCAGCAGATAAAAAAATTAAGGATAATAAAAAAATAAATAGACAAATAAAGAAACAATCAAAAATTCTGGGAAATATTACGAGAGAGAGGGGTCTTAAGGATATCTGGCGTGTTTTCTATCCCATGGAAAGAGAATATAGTCATCTCTCTAGAGTTCATCAGTCTCTTTCCAGAATAGATCTGGTCTTAGGAGAGAATTCTTTAGTGGAACAGATTAAAAAAATAGAAATAGGTGAAAATCCATGGGCGGATCATAGTTACAACATATTTAGCATAAAGGATAAAAAAAAAAATAAACCCTTTAGTACCTGGCGATTGGGTGACAATATTATCTTAAAGAGTGAACATCAAAATCAAATAGGAAAACTTATTGAGTTGTATTTCAGGGAAAACAAAACGGAAGGTATGTCATATTCAGTGATCTGGTGTGCCTTCAAAGCTGTCGTAGGAGGCTATTTGATAAAACTTAAAAGTAGACTAAATAGGGAAAGGGGTGCAACTAGAGAAGAACTTTATATTCAATACTATAGAATCTCTAAAAATATGAAAAATCTCCTTACTAATGAAACAATAATACAATTAAAATATATCAAATAAAAAATAAAATAGAAACAGAAAGAATTAACAGAAATCTAGAAAAAATGAAAGTAAATTATTATCATGATAATAACAAAATTACAAAGTGGTTTACTAATAAGTGGAAGAAAAAAAAGGGGGTTAAACAGGATAACAAGCATTAAAAAAGATCAGACAGAGTATAGGAACCCTGAAGACATAGCAAGAATCTTTAAGAACTACTACAAAGATTTATATAACATTCCTAAATCATCAGGGGAAAAACAAATAAAGAATTATTTGGAAGATATTAATTTACCAGAAATTCCCAAACAGCTTAATAAGTTAAATATGCCTCTTACGAGAATAAAATTTCACACAGCTATTGAATGATTAGAAAAATATAAAACCCCAGGCCCAGATGGGTTGACAAACCATTTTTATAAAACATATAGTAATTTAATATGTGAACATATAGTTAATGTCTATAATGAGATAGTTGAGAAAGGATCTGGACCCAAAGAAATGCTTTATGCAAATATAATCCCTATCATTAAAAAAGATAAGGACCCCAATGAATTGAAAAACTATCGCCCAATATCTTTAATTAATGTAGATTCTTTGAGCTAAATAATGGCACCCATCAGGGATGTTCCCCGCTCTCGTCAATATTGTATATTATCTCCATGGAACCCTTTGCAGCCAGAATTAGATCTAACCGGAACATCAAAGGGATTCCTGTAGCATCAGGGGACCTAAAGGTGTGTTTGTACGCAGATGATACAATAATTACGTTGACGGATCCCTATGCCTCTATTTCCAATCTCATGGAGGAGATAAGTCATTATAGTGAGGTGTCGAATTATAAGATGAATATAGATAAATCAATAGCAATGTTTTCAAAATGTGATTCTGATGTTAAGAGACAAATATTAGAAAAGTACAGCTTTATGGAGGCTACGGGAAGCTTTGAGTATTTAGGAGTTATACTGTCAGACAGCTTAAACATCATTGTTGAAAAGAATGTCTTAAAACTGATTAAAGTAACAAATCTGGCACTGAAAAAATGGAACAGTACATTTTTGAGTTGGGCTGGAAGAATAAATATAATAAACGTGTATATTCTTCCAAAGTGGACATATTTTTTTTAAATGGTCCCTTTAAAGGTACCAGATAGTTGGTTAGAATTAATTCAGAGAATGTTTAGGAACTTTGTAGGAACTTTGTATGGAAAAGAAAAAGACCTCACATTAATTTAGTCCCGCTGACGAGGGCCCCTAGGCAAGGCGGTATGAATTTTCCCAATATCAGAAAGCACTATGAAGCTAGCATGATCCATCATATACAAATTTTAACGAAAAAAGAAGCAATATATACAGGTTGGTACAAACTTGAGACTATATCATTGACTAAGCAGCAATTAAATAAATTGTTATGGCATGAAAAAGCAAATGTAATCCTAAAAGAAACTCAAAATAAAATAATTTGCCAAACTCTTCTAATATGGTTTAAACTGAGGAAGCAAATGAACCACAGGGTCAAGATATATGACTTCATGGAGATAGAGATTTTTGGGATCAAGTTTACCGTACTTTAGTTAAACTAGAAAGGGTTAGGATTGATAAAACCCAGTCACTGCAATTCTTCACTTGGGTTGGCCTGAGTTAACTGCTATAAATTTTTATTTAGTTACCCATAGTTTTTTAGCCTTGAAGATTATTATAGCAAGAGAATGGAAACAATCAAAAGAAAAATAATTTTATCACTGGGTAAACCAACTAATATTTCAATTGAAAATGGAACTGGGGGTATGCTGGAGAAACAAGTCTTCGGTTAAAAAAATAAAAGCAAAAGAAAATTGCCTTTCAAGAGTTCTATCCCTTCTAGGATAATAGAGCGATTAGTGCATTTCGATAAAAGGAGCTATATTGTATCAGATTATTTACTCTTTCTTTTCTCTCTGCTTGGGCCCTACTTCACAGTATTGTATTTGTCAGGATGTTTGATTGAATGAGTCAGTTTATATTATGGATGGTTTTATATAATGTTTATGTAATGTATTGTCTGTTATTGTATCGAAAAACAAATAACAAATATTAAAAAACAAAACAAAAAAAACAAGCATGTCAAACTTAAAGGCTAGCACGGGTTTAAGTTTATGGGGACCGCCAAAAAAATAAAAAACTTACATTTTCATAGAAACGTAGGTTTATTTTGAAAAGTAGGGTATATATATAAAAAAAAACACCACCCCCCTCTACTTAACCCCACCACACTCCTCTACTAAACTCCAGCTCCCTCTCTACTAAACCCCAGTCCCTCCTTCTACTAAATCCCAGCCCCTTCCACTAAATGCCAGTCCCCCCTCTACTAAATCCCAGTCCCCCCTCTACTAAATCCCTGCCTCCATATTAAATCCCAGCACCCCCCTCTT